ACCAAAGTATATAACTCAGTTAGCAACATGTAATATAAATAAAATATATAGAGAGGTTTCTTCAGATATTGATAGATGGGAGTCATTAAATCTCACCGTTTGGGGAAAGGTGAATGCTCTAAAAATGAACATTATTCCCAGATTAATTAATATTCTGAGAGGAATTCCAGTTTTTATATCTGGAAAATGTTTTCAGAAAATAAATTCTTTGCTTAGAAAATTTCTATGGGGTTCTTCAAATCCGAGAATATCTTTACAGAAAATGCAATTAGCAATTAATGAGGGAGGATTTGGTCTTCTGGAGCTATATTATCCTGCTTACCTATTGTCAAGAATTAAATACTAGAAGCCAACAAATGGTGTTAATTTTCCAATTTGGGCAATTTTGGAATATACATATAAAACACCTTTGATTGGATGGACAGTATTAGGATTGAAATATACTAAAACTCTAATATCTCTGGAAACAATTTTGTCAGTTAGAAAGCTATGGAACACAATGTTTAATAAAAAAAAAAGATTTGACCCTTTTTTCCATGTCAAATTGACTATGGGGAAACCCAACGTTCAAAATTGGGAAAAAGATGGTAATATAGAAAAATTGGATGGAAGTGGGGATATTGACTTTGGACCAACTGATAGATGAAGTGATGAATTTTTAACATACTCTGTGTTAAAAGATAAATATTATCTATCAGTGATATTTACCAGTGGCAATATTTACAATTACAACATTTGTAAACAACATTGTTTGAACCAGCAGCATTGCTTCTGAGACACCTGAGATATTAGAAGAACTTGTTAAATCCTTTAAAACTAAAAACCTACTATTAGTTTGTACAGTTATTTGTTATCAATAGATCAATTTGATATGCAGATGTTAAGGGATGAGTGGAATAAAGAATTAGAGGTTTCTATATTGCCTAGGCAATGGGAGTGTCTTAACTTCTATAGCAAGAGTTTCAATAGACACTTCTATAGCAAGAGTGTCAATGGACCTTAGATAGTCATATAAACAATACAATAAAAAAATATTTAGAATTTATTGGACTCCACTGCGTCTATATAGACAAGGATTGTCAAAAATAGCATTTTGTTGGAGATGTAATAAGGATAATGCCTCTTTAAAGGCATTTTTATAATATCCTATACTTATTAAGTTTGGGGAGAAAATAGTGGATTATATAAATATGATTATCCGACAAAAGCTAAAATTTTAAAAGGATAATATTCTTTTGAACTATATACTTAGTACATGGAATTTGACATCTGGATAACGTAAATGGATTCTCTATGCCCTTACTATGGCCAAAAGATTGATATGGCAGCATTGGAAAGATAAATATATGACTCCATTTATTCAATGGATTGAAGACCTGATTGCACTTGCCACTTGTGAGCGGATTGCCTGCAGATGAAGACTTTGTATGGACAAATATAATGAACCATAGGACTCATTTATACAAAATACAGTAGGTTAAAAAACAAC